TACTACTACTACTACTACTACTCTACTACTACTACTACTACGACTACTACTACTACTACTACTACCACTACTACTACTACTACTACTACTACACTACTACGACTACTACTACTACTACGACTACTACTACTACTACTACTACTACTACTACTACTACTACTACTACTACTACTACTACTACTACTACTACTACTACTACTACTACTACTACTACGACTACTAACTACTACTACTACTACTACTACTACTACTACTACTACTACTACTACTACTACTACTACTACTACTACTACTACTACTACTACTACTACTACTACTACTACGACTACGTGCGCGTCGTCCACCTCCCAGGGGTGGCCCGCGCGCCGAGAAATCTTCTAGTGTAAGCTCCGTGGCGGGCGCTTTCTGGCCATCCGCCCCGGAAACGATATGTCACAAAGAAGATGCACGATCTGTTCGGGTCGGACGCAGGCCTCCAAAGAGGGCATCTAATAGTACCAGCATGTCCTTGTGCGTCTCAGAAAAGGGCCCTGAAGTCTCGACCCATTCCCCCAGACCAGTGTGTGTGTGTACATCCTGGGTCGTTCGTCGACGGTCTGGAGGCCTGTTAAGGGCCCCTCCGAGGCCGAAGATAACTGAACAAATGCCCGTCTTGAGTTTTTCGTGACCCGCGGGGGGACTGGGGAGGAGCCCGCCAACTTGCACCTGCTCCACCTGCTCTACCTGGGTGTGGACGTGACGGCGCTGGTGGTGGAGCGCAGTATCGGTTAACTGATCCCCATCCTCATCCCGATCTCCACCATCCCACCACCCCAGGTGGGGATATGCCCCTCGAAGCCCGAAGGGAACCGCCTATATCCCAATCTGGGGGAGGGGGGGGCATACCAGCCGATGGGGCATAGGCCACGCCCGCGGGGATAGGGATCTGTCTCAGACATGCGACGTCTTGTCTTCTGCGATACGCGGTCCCCGGAAGTCTGGACTCTTTCCCCGGGACCGCTTTCTCATCTTGAGTCGCTCTTCGACGGCTCCTGGGCCCGTCGAGGGCCTCGAGAGGCCGAAGACAACGAAAAGCCGCCGTCCTGAATATTATATATGTATATATATACATATATACACACATTGCCCCGGCAACGGGGGTTTCCAGTTCGCGCCGGCGCCGAAGACGCTATTTGAAGACGCTATTCCTTGTGATATCGTGTCCCTGTGAAGACGCTATTCCTTGTGAAGACGCCATTCCCGGTGAAGACGGTGAAGACGCGATTCCCGGTGAAGACGCTGTTCTATTCCTGGTGAAGACGGTGAAGACGCTATTCCGGGTGAAGACGCTATTCCCTGCAGTGTGAAGACGCTATTCCCGGTGAAGTCGGTGAAGACGCTATTCCGGGTGAAGACGCTATTCACTGTGAACAAGCGTTTTGCAGACACAGACAGCACTTCCCCTATGAAGACGCTATTCCAGATGAAGACGCTATACTCCCGGTGAAGACGCTATTCGCTGTGAAGACGCTATTCCGGGCGAAGACGCTATTCCTGGTGAACACGCTATTCCGAGTGAAGACGCTAGTCTGGGTGAAGACGCTATTCCCGGTGAAGGCGCTATTCCCGGTGAAGACGCCATTCCCGGTGAAGCTTCTATTCCCGGTGAAGACGCTATTCCGGGTGAAGATGCTATTCCCGGGTGAAGACGCTACTCCTTGTGAAAACGCTATTCCGTGTGAAGACGCTATTCCCGGTGAAGACGCTATTCCCGGTGAAGACGCTATTCCTTGTGAAGACGCTATTCCCGGCAGACGCTATTCCCGGTGAAGACGCTATTCCGGGTGAAGACGTTGTTCCCTGGACGCTTGTGTGAAACAATTATTCCGGGTGAAGACGCTATTCCAGGTGAGGACGAAATTCCTTGTGAAGACGCTATTCTGGGTGAAGACGCTATACTCCGTGTGATGACGCTATTCTTTGTGAAGACGCTACTCCTTGTGAAAATGCTCCTCTCTTCACCATGCCGAGTATTCAACGCGCTTCCCTCCCAGGTGTCACTTGAAAGTTCCAGTTTACTTTACGCTTCCTGTGCCTAATTAACACAACGCGTGCCCCAGCTGTTGTGCGACACCCTCTGCTAGGCAAGACCCCTCCCCAAGTTGATGAAAAAGAATCGCTAGACATGTCCCATCTGCTGTGCAACACCCTCTTCTGGGCAAGACCCCTATCGGAGGACCCACCCCCAAGTTGATGAAACAAATCCTTGGTGCTTGACGTGCCCCATCTGCTGTGCGGCACCCTCTGCTAGGCAGGACCCCTCCCCAAGTTGATTTAAAACAAACCCTTGATGTTAGACGTGCCCCATGTGCTGCGCGGCACCCTCTGCTAGGCAAGACCTTTCCCCAAGTTGATTTAAAACAAGAATCCTTGGTGCTAGATGTGCCCCTTTGCTGTGCGGCACCCTCTGCTAGGCAAGACCCACCCCCAAGTTGATGAATTACCTTCCGACGTACCCAACGTTTTCTATACATGTGGTGGTTACATTCGGGACCATTCAATGCTGACGGGCATGCAGAAAAACCCGCCGTGCGGAAGAAGAACACCCATCAGTGAACTCAGAAGAGCGCAGCAAGAAGAGCAGCGGCAACGCGTAAGACGTACCTCTGCTGGGCCTCCCAGGAGCCTACGAAAGTGGCGACCGTTGCGCTGATCGCAGTACCCCAGGGCGCCGCGAGGTCTCGAGATGGTCCGCGTGGGACGTACCTCCTCTGGGCCTCCCAGGAGCCCACGAAAGTGGTGACAGTTGCGCAGATCGCAGCCCCCCGGGCGCCGCGAGGTCTCGAGGTGGTCCGCGTGGGACGTACTTCCGCTGGGGCTCCCAGGAGCCCACGAAAGTGGCGACAGTTGCGCAGATCGCAGCCCCCCAGGGCGCCGCGAGGTCTCGAGGTGGTCCGCGTGGGACGTCCTTCCGCTGGGCCTCCCAGGAGCCCACGAAAGTGGCGACAGTTGCGCTGATCGCAGCCTCCCCCCAGGGCGCCGCGAGGTCTCGAGGTGGTCCGCGTGGGACGTCATTCCGCTGGGCCTCCCAGGAGCCCACGAAAGTGGCGACACTTGCGCAGATCGCAGCCCCCCAGGGCGCCGCGAGGCCTCGAGGTGATCCGCGTGGGACCCACCTTCGTTGGGCCGCCCGGGAGCCCACGAAAGTGGCGACAGTTGCACAGATCGTAGCCCCTAGGGCACCGCGAGGTCTCGAGGTGGTCCGCGTGGACCCACCTCCGTTGGGCCTCCCAGGAGCCCACGAAAGTGGCGACAGTTGCGCAGATCGTAGCCCCCAGGGCGCCGCGAGGTCTCGAGGTGGTCCGCGTGGGACGCACTTCCGCTGGCCTCCCAGGAGCCCACGAAAGTGGCGACAGTTGCGCAGATCGCAGGGCCCGCGAGGTCCCCGCGTGGGACGGCTGGCCTCCCAGGAGCCTGGCGAGCGCAGATCGCAGGGCGCCGCGAGGTCTCGAGGTGGTCCGCGTGGGACGTACCTCCGCTGGGCCTCCCAGGAGCCCACGAAAGTGGCGACAGTTGCGCAGATCGCAGCCCCCAGGGCACCGCGAGGTCTCGAGGTGATCCGCGTGGGACCCACCTCCGCTGGGCCTCCCAGGAGCCCACGAAAGTGGCGACAGTTGCGCAGATCGCAGCCCCCAGGGCACCGCGAGGTCTCGAGGTGATCCGCGTGGGACCCACCTCCGTGGGCCTCCCAGGAGCCCACGAAAGTGGCGACAGTTGCGCAGAGCGCAGCCCCCAGGGCAGCGCGAGGTCTCGAGGTGGTCCGCGTGGGACGTCCTTCCGCTGGGCCTCCCAGGAGCCCACGAAAGTGGCGACAGTTGCGCTGATCGCAGCCCCCACGGCACCGCGAGGTCTCGGGGTGGTCCGCGTGGGACCCACCTCCGCTGGGCCTCCCAGGAGCCAACGAAAATGGCGACAGTTGCACCGATCGCAGCCCCCAGGGCGCCGCGAGGTCTCGAGGTGATCCGCGTGGGACCCACCTTCGTTGGGCCTCCCAGGAGCCCACGAAAGTGGCGACAGTTGCGCAGATCGCAGCCCCCAGGGCGCCGCGAGTTCTCGGGGTGGTCCGCGTGGGACCCACCTTCGTTGGGCCTCCCAGGAGCCCACGAAAGTGGCGACAGCTGCGCAGATCGCAGCCCCCAGGGCACCGCGAGGTCTCGAGTTGATCCGCGTGGGACCCACGGACCCACCTCCGTTGGGCCTCCCAGGAGCCCATGAAAGTGGCGACAGTTGCGCAGAGCGCAGCCCCCACGACACCGCGAGGTCTCGAGGTGGTCCGCGTGGGACCCACCTCCGCTGGGCCTCCAAGGAGCCCACGAAAGTGGCGACAGTTGCGCAGAGCGCAGCCCCCACGACACCGCGAGGTCTCGAGGTGGTCCGCGTGGGACCCACCTCCGTTGGGCCTCCCAGGAGCCCACGAAAGTGGCGACAGTTGCGCAGATCGCAGCCCCCAGGGCACCGCGAGGTCTCGAGGTGGTCCGCGTGGGACCCACCTTCGCTGGGCCTCCCAGGAGCCCACGAAAGTGACAACAGTTGCGCAGAGCGCAGCCCCCAGGGCACCGCGAGGTCTCGAGGTGGTCCGCGTGGGACCCACCTGCGCTGGGCCTCCCAGGAGCCCACGAAAGTGGCGACAGTTGCGCAGATCGCAGCCCGACGGCACGAGAGAAGAGGAGAGGGGAACACAGGAAACAGGAGAGGAGGAGGGGAGAAGGGGGGAGGAGAAGAAGGAGGCTGGGGCGACCACACTGCTCTATTCAAAACGAGTACCCAACCATAGGAGGGTTGGGAGAAATGAATCTCTGGTGCTAGACGTGCCCCATCTGCTGTGTGGCACCTTCTGGTAGGCAATGGCCCTCCCCAAGTTGCTTTTAAAAGAATCCTTGGTGCTAGACGTGCCCCATCTGCTGCGCGGCACCCTTTGCTAGGCAAGACCCCTCCCCAAGTTGGTTTAAAAAGAATCCTAGACGTGCCCCATCTGCTGTGTGGCACCCTTTGTTGGGCAATGGCCCTCCCCAAGTCGGTTAAACAAAATCCTTGGTGCTTGACGTGCCCCATTTGCTGAACGGCACCTTCTGCTAGGCAAGACCCCTCCCCAAGTTGATTTAAAACGAATCCTTGGTGCTAGACGTGCCCCATCTGCTGTGCGGCACCCTTTGTTAGGCAATGGCCCTCCCCAAGTTGATTAAACAAATAATCCTTCTTGCTAGGCGTGCCCCATCTGTTGTGCGGCACCTTCTGCTAGGCAAGACCCTTCCCCAAGTTGATGAAAAAAGAATCCTTGGTGCTAGATGTGCCCCTTTGCTGTGCGGCACCCTCTCCAAGGTGAGGCCCTTTGCTGCGCGGCACCTTCTGCTAGGCAAGACCCTTCCCCAAGTTAATTAAAACAGAATCCCTGGTGCTAGACATGCCCCATCTGCTGTGCGGCACCCTATGCTAGGCAAGATCCCTCGCCAAGTTGATTCAAAAAGAATCCTTGGTGCTAGACGTGCCCCTTTGCTGTGCGGCACCCTCTGATAGGCAAGAGCCCTCCACAAGTTCATTTTAAAAGGATCATTAAAAAAGAAAGCCCGGTGAGCCCGTGGAGCCTCCTGGGGCCTCCCGGAGCTCACCAGGGCTTCCTGGGGCCTCATGGTGCTTTCTGGGGCTGTCTTGGCCCCTCCTGGTACCTCCTGGAGCTGTCTTGGCCCTCTCCTGGGGCGCGAATCCTTTGTGTTAAACGTATGTGCCAATAGATTGGCCTTCTCTTGGGGCGCGAGTCCATTGTGTTTCACGCATGTGCCTATATATTGGCTTACTCTTGGGGCACGAATGTTTAGTGTTTTACGTGCACGCGAAGTCTTACCGTGTTACGTGATGCCTAGAGATTTGCCTTCTTCTGGGGCGCGAATCCTTTGTGTCTTACACATGTGCATATAGGTTGGCCCTCTCCTGGGGCGTGTTTCGCGCGTATGCCTTTAGATTGGCCCTTTCCAGGGCCGCGAATCTTTCGTGTTTTACGCATTTGCTTATAGATGTTCCTTCCCCTGGGACACGAGCCCTGCGTGTTTTACGTATGCGCCTATGGATTTGCCCTCTCTTGGGGCACGAACCTTTAGTGCTTTACGCATGTGCATATAGATTCGCCCTCTCCTGGAGCACGAATCCTCCGTGTCTTACGTGTCTGTATATAGATTGGCCTTCCCCTGGGGCGCGAATCTTTTTTCTGTGTTTAACGTGAGTGCCAATAGATCGGCCTTCTCTTGGAACACGAATCCTTCTAGTGTTTTACGTATGTGCCTATAGATTGACCCTCTCCTAGGGCGCGAATCGTTCGTGCTTCACGTGCGTGCCGATAGAGTGGTCGTATCATGGGGGACGAATCCTTAGCGTGATTGGCCCTCTCCTGGGGCACCATTTATTTCCAGGGGCACGAATCTTTCGCGTTTTACGTAATTGCTTATAGATTTGCCCTCCCCTGGGGCACGAACCTTGCGAAGCGTCACGAGCTTCACCGGGCGTCAGGGGAGTAGAGGCTTCAGGCCGAATAGAAGCTTCACGCGCTTCACTGGGCGTCGGGGGAATAGAGGCTTCAGGCCGAATAGAGGCTTCACGAGCTTCACCTGGTGCCAGGGGAATAGAGGCTTAAGGCCGAATAGAGGCTTCACGAGCTTCAACGGGCGTCAGGCCGAATAGAGGCTCCAGGCCGAATAGAGGCGTCACGAGCTTCACAGGACGTCAGGTGAATAGAGGCTTCAGGCCGAATAGAGGCGTCACGAGCTTCACCGGGCGCCAGGGGAATAGAGGCTTCAGGCGGAATAGAGGCTCCACGAGCTTCAATGGGCGTCAGGGGAATGGAGGGTCCAGACCGAATAGAGGCTTCACGAGCTTCACCGGGCGTCAGGGGAATAAAGGGCCGAATGGGAGCGTTTAGGGTCGCTACCCCACCAGTGCGTCGGAATTCATGGGCCGAATAGAGGCATCTCGAGCCGAATAGAGGCTTCAGGCCGAATAGAGGCTTCAGGCCGAATAGAGGCTTCACAAGCTTCAATGGGCGTCAACGGAATAGAGGCTTAAGGCCGAATAGAGGCGTCACGAGCTTCACCAGGTGTCAGCGGAATAGAGGCGTCACCGCAGCTCCTTGGGGGAATGGCGTCTTCAAATAGCGTCTTCGGCGCCAGCTCGAACTGGGACCCCCCCCCGGGCCAGGCCCCTGGGTATACATATATATATACATACAAATATATATATATATATATATAGACACATCTACATGTATATATATATACACATATATAAACATATATAGTGTAAGACCCGATCGCGTCTTGGGCTCAGCGCTGCTCATCAGCACGGGCCACTGGCCAAGGGCGGCCCCTGTGTGTATATATATATGCATATATATATATATATATATATGAGTGCATTCATAAATATATACATATATACATACATACATACATACATACATACATACATACATACATACATACATATATACATACATACATACATGCATACATGCATACATACATACATACATACATACATACATACATACATACACACATACACACATACACACATACACACATACGTACGTACGTACGTACGTACGTACATACATACATACATACATGCATGCAATCGCGTCTGGGGCTCAGCGCTGCTCAGGAGCACGGGCCCCCGGCCAAGGGCGGGCCCCTGGGCACGGCGCCCTCGCGCCGCGTGCCCTCCGGCGGCGGCGGCTCCGCGCCGCTGCCCAGCAGCCTGGCCGGGGGCGGCGCACCGCGAGCGGCGGCCGGGGCGGCCGGGGGCCTCGTCCCGGCCGAGTACTGGGAGAGCTACGGCGAGCGCCGTGGGCCTGGGCCTCCCAGACTCGGGGGCGGCAAAGAGGGGGGCGATGACAAGAGGGGGGGGAAGCATGACGGGGGCCATGATGTTTCCCCAGATTTCATGGCGCCTCTTCTCATTTCATTGCGTCCCTGGCGCCCCCCGCTGGGCCGCGCGCACATGCCGCCAGTCATGATTTGCACCCCCCCCTTTTGGACACCCCCCTCTTGGCCGCTCCCGAGTGGGTCTGGGCCTCCCAGACGGGGGTCAGAGCCGGACATGATCGCGTCGTGAAGAAAATCAGGGCGCGAGGTTTCTGCCGGTTTCCGGCCTCGGGGGGCCTTCGCCGGGCTTCGGGACCGTCAAAAAACGATTCAGGATGAAAAACCGGTCCCGGAGAAAGGGTCGGGACTTCCAGGGACGCCATCCTGAAAAAATCAGGACGTTGCATGTCTGGGGAGCAGACGGGGTCGAAGGATCGCACCGCATCGCCGCTGCATCGGGGATGCGGCTCGATGTGGCGCCCGATGTGCTTCACGTCGACGTCTCCGATGCATCGCCCACGTCGACGATGCATCGCCGGTGCATCGCTGGTGCATCGCCGATGCTTCGCCGACGCATCGGCGATGCGGCGCGATCCTCCGACTCTGACTACGCGGACACTATCTGGGAGGCCTCTAGTGGAGCAAACGGGCCTTGGAGTCGAATAGCAGAAAACGCATGAACATAAGCTTTTGGCGCTCCAAGCGGAGCTTCGAAAGTGTATGTCTAGGCCGTTCTTTGGGGAAGCGGCCCGGCCCTGATACCCGGGCGCTGCAGTTTTTTCGAGACGGGCGGTTGCGCCCAGGGTTCGGGCCCCCGGGCCCTCGCGGATCGATCTGGCTCGAAGAATGGCCCAGGCGGATGGAGTCCGCAGGGCTCTGGTCGTGATTATTGCGGTGCTGTTTATGTTGTTCGCCGTCGGATCTCAGGGCTGAGGCGGCTCGGGCCCCGGAGCGTCTCGTGCGCCGCTGTCGAGCTCCGGGGGCTCTCCCGGGGCCATCCGGAAGCGGCCGGAGTGAGGAGCCGCTCCTGGGGAGGGCCCCCAGGGTCGGGCGGGCGGCAAGGGTGGGGGCCAAAATGGGGGTGGAGAAAGAGCCCTTCGAGAGTGAAAGAACCCCTAAACCTAGCAGCACAACAAGTGAAGAGTGAAGACGTGGCCTCACTGAGGTCCCCGTCTCGGCACCGGGGACCCTCATTCTGGGCGGTTTGGTTTGGTACAGCTCCAGAAAGAAAGAAACAACAAAAAAAACTACCCCCACTTGTGTTGCCCCCCAGCGTGGGTCCCCTCCCGAAGGCTCAGGGGCCCTTTGTGCTGGTCGACCACTGAGCGGGCCCTTTGGGGAGGCCCTCTCCTCCCCTCCCACTCGGGTCCCCCCCCCCCCCGTGCCACCTGCCCGCCCCGTGTCCAGGACCCGCCTCCCGCAGGGCCCGTGTGCTTCCCCCGTGGCGAGGCGAGCGCTGCACCGTCTACCGGTGAAGGCCGCCTCCTCCTCCTCCTCCTCCTCCTCCTCCTCCTCCTCCTCCTCCTCCTCCTCCTCCTCCTCCTCCTCCTCCTCCTCCTCCTCCTCCTCCTCCTCCTCCTCCTGGCGAGGAGGCGGCTGCACCGCTGCACAGGCACAGCTCGGGGGGCGGCCAGGAGGGCGGTGTTTGACAGGGGGAGGGGGGGGGAGCATCGTGGCTGGGGGCCATGATCTCGCCTCAGATCTCGTGGCGCCTCTCTCCTTCTTTCATTACGACCCCTGCCCCCCCCCCCCCCCTGGGCGGCGCACATGCCGCCGGCCACGAGTTGCCCTTTTTTGGACGCCCTCCTCTTGGACGCCCCCCAATGGCTGGGTCCGACGCCGCCTTCGGCCCCCCTTGGCGCGTCTGCGCGGTGTTTCCCTGCATCCCCGCGGCAACCTCGAGTGCTCGTCGCCTGCCCCCGGCGGCGCCTCGGTGCGCCCCTGTGCCCAGGGCCCCGGAAGCCAGGACACCACGAGCCATGATTCTGGCCAGATCCAGCTGGAGCAGAAGGAGACGTCAGGGGCAACGATGAAGGGGGGGGAAGATGGAACGAAGCTTTTCAAAGTTCGAGGTTCTCCGACTCTTTCGTTGGTTCTTGGCAGCGCTCAAGCCCCAGAGCGCTTTCCAGCAGCTGCGCCTCGCCGAGAGCGTTCACGGTGTGCCCAGATCGTCCCGAACGGCCGCCAGAGAGCCGAGTTATGACCCACAAACCATCAGGGTATAGGCGGGCTCAGGGGGGATGCAACGACCCCCAATCGCCCATTGATCGCCGAGGAACGTGCGGATCCGCCGCTGGGGACCTATCGCCGATCTATCGGCGATGTGTCACCAATTCCACATCGGTATTCCCCCCCTATGCCAGTCCCCTCCTATCGCTGCCCTTCAAGAATGGAGAATGGCTCGACTCACGGCTGCAAGTTTCTCGGCCTTGTCAAGTCGTTCGCAAGCCATCTCGCACGGCACATCGGCTGAACAGTGGCACGACACGACACATCGGTTCTGATCTCAGATTGCGGTTCCTCCTGCGCGGCTGGCATTTCTCTTTGCTGAGCTGACGTGTCGTGGGACATGGGCGTGCCAAGGTCCTGTTTGATCGAAGCCCTTGTTTTCGGGGCCCTGATGCGACAGCGCCGTCGTGGACGATGGCCTCCAGATTCTGCCACGGGGATCTCGACGGGGAGGTGCAGTCGGGAGCGAAGGCCCCTCCTGCTCCCGAGCTTGCGCGCCAGGACCGACAGGGTCGCGCGAGGAGGCGGTTGGGGGCACGAGCAACGGTGGTCCTGCGCACGCTCGGCCAAATTCGAAGGGGAGAACGCGACGCCAGCATGAGCCGTCGAGGCTCCGCGCGAGTTGCTCAGATCTGCGCGCGGGCCCACGGAAGTTCATGTGCATGCTGTTTTCCCTCCCCATGGTTTCAATTGCTGGAAGCGGGGAAGGGTAGATCTGCATGCGCAGGAGAGTCGGGGTGAAAGCGGAGGAGACGGGATGGATGTGTGCAATTTTCGTTGTTGGCACATTTTTACGTTTTCCGAATTCGCGCTGGCTCGCGAGGCCCCCACCGGGAGTGATCAGTCAAATGGTCGACGCTTCCTGGGGCAGAGCATACATCAGACTCTGGCAGCTGAGCGGCCCCACCATTTAAGACGAAAGAAGAGGCGAGTACACATCAGACAAAAAGACAACCCGTCATTAGCAAGTTAATCAACTATCGCAAGAATAGATGGTAAAGTCTGAGGCGGGAAGGAGAATAACGTCACATGCTCGTGGAGGCCCGGGCCCTGGCACTGGCTGCCCTGACATGCGAAAAGTTTAATTGACAACCAATTCACAAACTACAATACAGCAGTTTGAGCAAGATCTGAGTCAGCACCGACGGTGCCAAAGCGCACACTCTTGAAAAGCCGAGCGGGGGTTGGAGGAATCTCAGAGCCAAATTGATCGGCGCCCACGGAGGTCGCTGCGACTGGCCCATCCCAACGGGATCAGGTCGCCTCTGCGCGGTCGAACCGTCTCGGGTCCCTTCAGCGTGGCCCCGCGGAGCTGCCCTGTGGGCCCGATCGGAGGCGGCCTCGACCCCCCTGAAGTCTAGCTGAAGGCGTCCCAGACGGGAGAAAGAAGGTTTTTCGTCTCACAGTTGATACGCTGTCATACCAGGATTGAGTATATGTTCCGGTTACAAAAATTAGTTGTTGGGCCCGCCGTGTGAGACACCCTCAGATGAGATTGGCAGGCTGCTTATTTGGTTGGCGAATTAGTTGGTTGGTTGGTTGGTCGATCGTTTGGCTGGTTGGTCGGTCGGTTGATCGGACGTGAAGCTAAAACCTACGGCCTAAGCCCTATCCCCAGCATCATATTCTTACCCCCATCCCTGACCACCTATCAGGGCACAAATGTCCCGCCCGCCCGACCCGCCCCGCCCCATCGAGTAAGGGTTCTGTTCCATGTATCCCCGCTTCTTCCTGTCCCGCCGGCCCGACCCGACACGCCCGCCCGAGTGGTGGTTCTATTAGAGGAAGTCTCGCATTTCAATGCCTCGCCCGCCCTATTCGACCCGCTTCCCCCGAATACTGGTGTTACTCGATTGGGCCACGCTCATCTGGGGGCCATGTCAGGAGCCTCTTCCCCCTCTTGGGGTCCTCTTGGGCCAACTTGGGAACATCTTGGATGCCGAATGGGCTGTCTTGGAGCTATCTTGGAGGCCGCTTGGGCTGCCTTGGGCAGTCGGAAACCCACAGGCGAATACTTCAAATTGTGTTTCAAAAGCATATGGCAAATAACTGTGTGTTTCCTCTTCGCACTCTCCTGGAGAGCCTTTTGGAGCCATCTTGGATGCCTCCTGGAACTTCTTGGGGCCTCTTGGGCCGTCTTAGGGAGCTCGCGGCCCGTCTGACGCCTCCGGAAGCCGTGTTGGGGGGGGGGCCTCTCTGGGCCGTCTTAGTGCACCTTGGGAGCGTTTTAAGGCCGTCTTGGGAACTTCTTGGGCAATCGTGGGGTTCTCTCCTGCCAGTGTGGGGCCACCTTGGGAGTGGAAGCCAAATGGCTGGCTCGGAGCTATCTTGGAGGCCTTTTGGTTCGTCTCAGGCCGAAGCATGCGAGAGCGTCAAACTCTGTGAGACAAGCGACGAGCATCAGTGGTTTTGCTTCCTGAGGGCCTCTTGGAAGCCTCTCTGGGGCGGGGGGGGCTTCTTGGCCCGTCTGGCGCCATCGGAGGCCGTATTGGGGAGTCTCTCTCTGAGCCGTCTATCTGAGTGCACTCTTGGAGCGCTTCAGGCCCGTCTTGGGAACCTCTTGGGCAGTCTTGGGGTCCTCTTGGTGCGAAGGGGGGCCGTCTTGGGCGCCTCATGAGCCATCCTGGAGGCCTCTCGAGTCGAAATAGGCGAGGACATCAAAAGCTTTCAACGACCCGAGGAACCGTTAAGTGTTTTACCTCCTCGAGCTCTCTTCGAGGGCCTCTTGGAGCACTGTGGGGCAGTCTTGGGAAGCCTCTTAGACCGTCTTGAGGCCATATGTGAAGCTCCTTGCGCCGTCTTATGCCATCTTGGGCAGTCTTGGTATCATCTTGGCTATCTTGGATAGAAGCCGTCTGGCACGCTACCTCGAGAGGCCGAACCGACCGCTGGAGAGCAACTTCAGGGGGGATGCATGAGAAAAGAGGTGGCGTCCCGAGAACAGAATATAACACCTCCCAGACAACAGACGAGCATTCTAACACGCCCACTCAGTACAGGCACGGTGGCGGGTCAATAGTTGATCGCAGGGTTGAGTTACGCAAGTCTGCATAACCAGTACTAGCCACTAGTAACAACTGTTACGCGTAATTGAATGCGTGTCTCGGCTACGCTGTTATTTCGCCGTAAAAAAGTTAATACACGTGCCAAACGGCGCGCCATATGTCTACGTCGATAAGTGTGGAATGCCATTGATAATGTTTCGTGACAAGTATTCGATGGTAACATATGATGGCGCATCTGGGTTCTACAGGTAGCTTATGTCGTGCACGTACGTATCGTTTCGTGTGGTGAGCGGTGAGCAGTACGCGACAGTTACGGAAAAAAGCGCCCTGCGGGAAGCACGAAGAACAACAGGGTGACCCCAGCTACAAGCTACTTTCCACCCCCCCATTTCCTTTTCGACCCCCCCCCCTCCCTTTTCGACGCCAGGGTAAGCCAGGGCTGCCCTCTGCAAAGGGGGGGCTTTGGAAGCTATCCTCCCCCCCCCTTCCCTGTTGTGTGGGGGGCTGTGTAAGCTACCACCCCATCTTTTTATAGGCTTCCTGGGTGGGCCCGGGCTTACCTTTCGAAGGGGGGATAGCTTCAGAAGCTACCCCTTACCCCCCCTCTCTTTACCATATTGGGGGTTACTGGTCAAGGGGGTGGTCTTCCAAAGTTGCCAGCCTTTCTCCCCCCCTTTCGGGACTGGGGATAAACCCAGGCTGACGTTTGCAGTTCGTCGTTGTCGGCGTCGACGTCGGCGTTGGCGTCGGCGTCGTCATTGCCGTTTCGTATCATCGTCGTCTTTCTTGTCGTACTCGTAGGCGTGATTCTCGTCGTCGTCTTTGTCGCCCTCGTCGTCGCCGTTGGCGTTGTCATCATCCTCTTCGACGTCATTGTCGTTGCCCGTTGACTCCATTGTAGGGCAGATTCATGCATTCTAGTTGTTTCCACTCACTGCGTGTGCATTTTACGAGTAGCGTGCAATGGTATGTTTTGCGCCCCCCTGCGTCGCCACGTGGCGAGTAGACTTTACCATCAGTTGTTCGCCCTCCCATGGTTGCCACGTGATGAGCAGAGCAGCTTTTCTCGTATGTGTTTCCGCCCTCTGTGGTGCCGCGACGGGTGCAGTTGACGATCGAGGACACTTGAAGGAGGTCGTACATATTTCGACAGATCCCCTGAAATTCTGCCGGGTTCGTGGGGACTTGGATTGTTGGTAAGCCCAAAGACGGGGCGGTCCAGTAGGGGGCAGGGGGGTGTTCTTCGGGCTGGGGAGGTCCATAGGGAGGGGGGTGTAGCTCGTTGTCGTTGGCGTCGTCGTCGCTGTCAGTGTCGTCGTCGGCGAGCGGAGAAGAATATTAGTTGTTCTCTGTTCCCTTCCCTGCGCGTTGCCATGTGACGGGTAGACGTGAACGTTTCCGCCCCACCTGCGTTGCCACTCGGTGCCCGCAGTAGACGTGTGTCATTGTTAGCCTCCCTGCGTTGCCACGTTGCGACTTCTCGGAATTGGATTTAATCCTCCAGGCGTTACGGCGCGACGGGTACTGTGGGATGGTATTTGTGCCGTGGCTAGCGGCGTCACGCGTTTAGTACAGACGGTGTTCGATAGATGTCGTGCATGTTCCGTCAGATCTTTGAGGATTCATTGCGGATCTCGGGCGCACGGGCGGGTCGGCGCACGGGCGGGCGGGGCGGGCGCGCGCGCGGACGGCCTGGGCGGGCAGGCGGCGGCGTGGACGGGCGCACGGGCGGGCAGTCGCGCGGCGCGCGGCCGCGCGGGCACGGGGCGCAAGTGCGGGCGGGCCAGGCGGGCACGCATGCGGACGGGCGGGCCCGCGGGCGGCCGCGCGTGCGCGGGCGGCCCGGGCGGGCGGGCAGAGGGCGCGTGGGCGGGCGGGTACGCGGACGGGCGGCTGCGCGTGCGCGCGGGCGGGCGAACGAGCGGGCGGCCGCGCCGGCAGGCATGGGGAAGGGGGGGTGGGGTGCTCCAATTGGGGAGAGGTGAAAGGGAGGGGGGGGGGTAGAATGCAGGGGTCGCAGGAGGAAGGGGAGGGAGGGGGCGGTCTGGCAGGGGTGCCAAAGGGAGGGGGGGGGCATCTTCTGGAGCGCAACAAAAGAGGGAGGGGGCGGGGGGGGGTCTGACAGGGGAGGTCCAAAGGAGGGGGGGTCGTTTCGGGGATACCCCCCTTTGGCGCTCTCTCCCGTGGCGCGCTCTTTCATAGTTTTAGATTTGTCAGTCAGAATGACTAGTCGTATTGGCAATCTGGAAATTATGGTTGTAGTTGATTGTATGTCTGATGCATGCGATTCGTTACTGCAGTCCACGTTATTTCTACCCGATGTTGAAAAATCAGTGGCTTTGGTATGCCGACACTGCTAGTAATATTACGAATATGGTTGATTATTGTAGTAAGTGGCGCACACATGTGTGGTGCAGTGTGACTGCTCAATATGAAGTATGTTTGCGTTGTCTGGAGATCACGCGATTTGGCTCAGCATTGGATTGCTGATTTTCATCATGAGTGATCATCCATGTCACGATGCTGCACCACCGCCCTGGACTTTTTCAACGCTTGTCCTCAATTCTTCTCTGTGGTTAGCACTAACAGGGATGGGGTCACCAATCCAACCGAAGCTGGGGTCAGCCCAAGCAACCCTCAGAACAGCCAGCGTGGGAGGCTCTCCGGAACCCAATGCGGCAACACAAGCGCTATCTTGACAGTTCTTTTAAGAGGCTGCGGGGCTCCAACGTCCAAAAGGAGCTGTCCAACATTAGCCATACTTTCTTGGAGCCCCGTCAATGGGACTCTGTTGGGATGCTCTCGGAGGTAGTTGAGGCACCCTATGGGCCTCTCTTGGATCCCTCTTGGCGCGTGCGTGTGAATGTGTGTGAATGTGTGTGTGAATGTGGGTGTGTGGTGTGTGTGTGTGCTGTGTTGTGCCTGTGGTGCAGTGTGTGTG